GATAAGAGTCTCACAGACTTTTCTTGCCTGAGCTGGCTTCCAACTATGATCCTCAGATCTCAGTCTGCTGAGTAACAAAGAGCCCAGGTGTGAGCCATTGGTGCCCAACTCTAAATCCATTTCTTATAGTTCATTTTAACCTTGGGAATTTCTCTCCCAAGTCCTGGTCTAGTTACCATGTCTGTTTCCCACCTTCCCCCAAAAGGATAGGGTCATAGTAGATCCCCAACCATGGTAGACGAATACTGTAACTCTAGTCCAAAGCACCGGAATTCCAAGTTCTCTTTAGCTTTCCTAATATCAGTCATCTAGATGCTCTGCCATTTTCTTGCTCTAGTTGCCTAAGACTGAGAAAGTTATTATCATGGTCACTCTGAGGTTCCTGATAGCTTAGTACCATCCTAAACCTCCTTACCACCTCACCAACCAGACAATGTAAGCCTCACAGACAGGACTACTACCAGAACCCAGCCTTTCCTAGCCTTCTCTAGCTAGCACAAATAAATATCTACAGATAGCAGAAGAGGCACATTGTCATCATTCATGTGGACTCACAGGGGCGGGGCAATAGATTCAGAGAACAGGCTGAGGTGAAAGAGCTTGTACTCACAGAAAGGCGATGACAGACAAGGAGGAGTCAAAGAACCCCTTGATAATAAGTCCAGATGCCAAACACAGCCACATTTACAACAGCAGACTGAGCTCAGCTTAGCAGTTTGGCTGGCATGTACTTATACACAGTACCTTTGAACACTCTCTTCCCCGTGTCTGTTCATGGTATTTAGCAATGTCCTAACTGACTAGCAGGAAAGCTCCTGGAGAGCAGGCACCTTGCTTTTTATGTACTGCAGAACACAGAGCAGTGACTGGCACACATCACATTTTGCAGTGCCCTAGGAATGTGTTTGAGATAACATGCCGGCCTCAGTCATCGATACCAGCAGATGTTTGGGTAGACGTCTAGGCATTGGCAAGAGCCTGGATCAGGTTAGGATGCGCTTATGAAGAGGAAGGGCAGACTGAAATGAAAGAGGATGTCTAAGATATGTAGCAAACTCCCATTAAGGGAGTCAGAGGGATAAGAAGAGGATGAGAAGAGGCGGCCAAAGTCAGAAAGAAAGAAGGCAACCAAGGTAATAATAGCTTTCATACACCAGGGAAGAACTACTTACTGATGACAAATGCTGAGGAAGCTTAAATGGATGTAAATAATGCAATGACATTGAGCTTAATAACAAGGATGTCTGCAGCGACCCCTGTGGATGCTAGAGGCATAGACAGCTGCAGTGGGAGAGAGAGCTGGAGTATAGGGAAAAGTGGAAGCAGCAGACAAAGGCTAGATGGCAAGATGTTTCATCTGGATGATAACAGACTACACAGATGCCATAGGAAAAACTGATTAGATAAGGTGTCTACATGAATGCTTAGTTTGGAGAAGATACAAGCACTTTTTTTTTTTTTTGTCAGTCGTGGGGCTTGAACTCTGGGCCTGGGCGCTGTCCCTCAGCTCTTCAGCTCAAGGCGAGCGCTCTACCACTTGAGCTACAGCGCCACTTCCGGTTTTCTGGTGGTTTACTGGAGATAGGAGTCTCAGGGTCTCTCCTGCCCGGGCTAGCTTTGAACCGCGATCCTCAGATCTCAGCCTCCTGAGTAGCTAGGATTACAGGCATGAGCCACCAGCGCCCGGCTACAAGCACTTTTAAAGAGCTAGAGGAAGTACTCTCACTTTTGCTTGAACACAGAACAGGTCAAAACAAGTATACTAAGTCAGTTCACATGTCCCTCAGTGGACGAATGGTTCAAGAAAACACAGTATATATACACAATGGATTTTTTCTCATCTATTAGAAAGAATGATGTTGTACCATTTGTGAAGAAATGGAAAGACTTGGAAAAAATTATATTAACTGAAGTCCAGCCCAGAGAAACAGAAGTTGCACGGTTTCTATCATGGGTAATAAGCAAGTGGTTACAAATGTATTAATTGAAATACTGTAGATTCAAGAGAGAACTCAAATAAGTGTAATTCCTTACAAAGACAAAGTCCAAGTGTAACAAAATAAGCACCAGGAAATGCATACTCACAAGAGGTAGTTTGAGGCCAAGGGGAGAAGGAAAGATGAATGAAGAGGATAAGGGCATTCAATGTATACATTACTGAATTAAGAAAGTAAGAGAAGGGGTGGGTAGGGGAGGGATGGGTGAGAATGTTAAAAGGGGTGACATCCATCAAGATGCCTTGTATTCATAAACTGCTTGTTGGATGGCAGATCCTTTGCACAACTACTTAAAGATAATTAAAAGGTAAATAAAAATGGAGAAAAAAACAAGATGTAAATGACATTTTAAGTTCTAGAGCTAGAAAAGGATAGAACCTTAGCTTAGGTGAGACTGACCAAGAGCTCTACTGCTCAGGACATGAATAGCATGTGCAAAGCAGTAATCATGGCACATGGTAGCCATCTTAGTTTGTGAAAGGGCATTCCACAATGTTCAGATAACAATGAGCTAGCCCAAGATCCATTTCTCACAATGTGTCCCATCATTAGGTGACACATGACTACAGACAGAAAAGAGGACTACTCCTTTACCTTACAACCAAAGGGACAGACAATGGCAGAGATATAGGTAACTTTTTGCCTTAAAACAAGACCAAAGAACCAACTGGAAGTCAGGATTCAAACCCAGTTTGCCTTAAAGGACAAGAGATCTCAGGGATTAGGAGGAGAATTCCAAAATATCGCTGACTCAAGGAAAACCAGAACAGGTCAAGAATGGAGCTCTTTTTGCCTGCCACCACAACAGTGAATACATTATTGCATTGGTATTAATAATATAAATTAGTGTGGTGTCCTAACTACTAGCCACTAACACTTACTGCAACAGAAACTCTGGAGACCAGGAAAAGTGGTACAATATCAATCACTGCATAGTAGGATACATTAAGAGTCATGTCCATGTGAGTATCAAGCCAGAAGGCTAGAGAGGAATAAATGTGGAAGAAAACCCCCTCTGTCATACCCGAACGGTGTGGGTCTTGCCTAAAGCTTGCTTCATAGACTGCCATATCTGAACTGCTCAATTTCATTCTGTGAGATCATTTTCAAAAGAAGATATCTTTTTTATGACTATATCTTTTTCATGGTGATTTCCAAATGCATCAGTTACTACATGTTATCTTCCTTCAAAGTGAATAAAAATTATACCATCAAAGAAACCCCCTTTGCACAGTTAATGTATACAAAATGTCTCTGCTTTGAGCTTCATTCATTAAAGTATTAAGATAAATTCACAAATATTTTGTCAATTCATTATAACTAATTAAAAAAAAAGAAGTAACAGGAAGGAGGAAGCGGGGGTTCTTTGAGCTGTCTTTTTTAAGGAGAGAAAATGTTTGAAGCCTAGATTCAGGTGCAAAGTAAGAAAGATGAAGAGGATTCCCTTCCTTTCTCCATTTTTTGTTTCTTAATGCTAGAGCCCAGAGCCCATTCCCATCTTTGGTAACCAAAATAACTTGACAAGCCAGATTCTCCCAATACAGAAAAATGTGAGATCCAGCTACTAAAGAAGGCTGAGGTGGTTCTATCTGAAGAACAGGTAACAGATGCTCAGCCAAGGACTGGAAAGAGTCAACGATCTCCCTGAGAACCAACAACAGAATCTGGAACTAAAGTAGGTTAGAATTCTAATCATTCAACTTCCTGATGTTGGAAATGAGAAATCCATGGCCCAGAAGCTGAATGTGAATGACGCAAGGACATTGGATGAGCTCGTGGCACAAACACTAACCTCACGTGTGACCTCAGTGCACAGCACCCAGTCCACCAGTTCCACCACCATCTAACACAGAAGGCACTTGAGAGGCACCAATAACCAACCTATCATCATTTTCTCTTCAGTCAAGCCTTTTCTTTTCCCATTTTTATTACGGATATTTTTCTAATACCTACCCATAGAAAGATGAGAATAATGTAGGCCCAATCATCCCCAAATTCCTAGCCTATATTCTCCTATATTCTTACCCACCCAGATCCCCCTTCAGGGTAATTCTGAAACAGCTCAGGCATCATTATTTCCTGTTACATAGTAAAAACTCAAGAAAATTATATAACTGCAAATGTATGGGACCCAATTTTCCCCAAGGAGTTTCAATGTCCCTATTGTGTAGCCTTCTAATGTATGTCACAAGTACAAAGGCCTTTCTTAGCACAGAACAATAAGCTATGCTCTGTGACCATGTACATTCTCTGATGTTGTTCGACTATGGTGCAATGAGGAATTTTGCTGAAGGAACTCTCTTGGATAGTAATCGTGGAGAACACTGAACTTATATAAACACCTAACCACCTTCTTACCTTGAACACCTGGCTCTTGTTTAAATTGGGTGTAATGCTGGTCTGAGATTCAAAGCCAATTTCTTCTGTGAGTTTATATGAATGACACTAAACAACGCAATTCTTAAAACCCTAATAAATACAAGTTAAATTAATAATGAAAACCATGCCCACCCATGGGGACAGTGCCCACTTATTTGTCTGAAAGACAGGATGAAAACAAAACCTAAAATTAAACCACAAATAGCACAACGCCTTTTCTCATACAACATTTCAGTCTCCTCTGTGGAACAAACACACCCAAAATATTCTTTATAAAATGTTTTCATTAACAAATAAGTAAATGATACGAGACCTAGGCAGACAGATATGCAACTCTACGTGTGTGTGCACATGTAAGTATATGCTAGTCACACAATGATGATAAAAAACACTGCACTTCTAGTTTTCTACCTCCTCTTACCCACATATCAGTTTTTATAAGACTTTACAAATATATTTTGAAACAAGGATAAATTAAAATCAGAAACCTTAAGTTGTTTTATCCTTCAATGAAATCATTTCATATTCACATTACTTTTTTCTGAAAAAAAGCAAAATATAATTTTCTACCTGTTGAATAATTTAATAATTAATCCTCTCCTGTAATAATTAGGCCACTCGTACCTGCTGAGGTTTCCCTAAACTTGTCACTCGTCTTCTTTTTCCTCCATTTCCAAGGCTTGAAGATTTTTCCAATGGTGGAGAGCTTCCCCTTTCGCTTGAAGGGAGGTGTCTGCGAACCTGCCGGGGGGCCATCCGAGTTTGCTATGGAAGCTTTGTCCAGTCCGTCAACTGTATGAAGAAAAATCAAGTCAGAGATGGGATGAAATAAAAGCCTGAATCTACATCACTTATCATTTCTTGTACTCTTAGTAAGCATGCCCACACTAACTGGAATCCCACATAAAGTTTATTTTGTCCACTGTGCAGCTGGTAGGACTCCCTAGGTATCAATCAGTAAGTCAGTCAATCAGAAATTATCGTCCCCTTAGGTCATCACTTGGAGGAAATAGAAAAGAGACTTGCATAATAGGTGCAGCCAGACAAATAAATATCTGTGAAACACAGCTGAACCCATGAGCCACAATTACATCAATATTTTGCAAGAATAGAGTATTCTAAGCATCCCTGAAATAGGAAGTTCCTCTGGAGACTAGTTTGGCATTCACAGCAATGAATGTCACAGTTATGGTGTGGCTAAAACCAGCCTTTCTCTTTCACAAACAAAATTTGGTGCCAGGAAGCTAAATTTTATAGGATGCTGAATCTATCTTTTCTTTCTGCTACAAAATAAGAAAATTTTCATCTTCAAAGAAACATATCATTAGCAAAAGAAATATGTGCAAAACTCACTTGTGGAAAGCCACAAGTGAGATGTCTCTGTACTCTTCAAACATTTTCTACATCAGAAGGCACAAAATCCTAAGTTGCCTTGCATGAAGTTCAAGGCAGATGAGAGATAGAGATTACTTATACTACTCTAATTCCCAAATTTCACTAGGAAAGAGCTAGAAGTGGCCTACAATGGATGAACTATAGTATTATTTGTTCAATAAAATAGCATCTAGCAATTTTTTAAATGAGCAGAAGGACATATATCCAATAAGGTAAAAACAGCATAATGTGAGTGTTGGCTCTAGGTGTTATGCATATGTGTTTAGGGGGGCAAATTGATTTTTATCTTCTCTGTGTTTTTCTAAATAAAATGCTGAGGGGGAAAAACCCCAAAATTAAGAATAAGAGTTTCCATTTCCAGGAAGATAGAGTAGACTTGCTTATTTTTATTTGTGTTACTAAAAAAAAATCTTTGCACAAAACTGATGATGCAAAAAACAACAAACTCAACAACGTGAATATGTCTTAAAAATGCGCTAAATTATAAGACCATGTAGAAAAGAAAAGTACACACTATGTGGTTCTATTTATGTAAAGTTTAAAAATAGGTGAAATGAATTTATGGCAAAAAAAAGATCAAGAAAAGAAAATCAGAGCAGAGCAGTAGCTTTATTTTGGAATGAGAAAGAGGTAGGAATTAATTAGGAAGGGGCCTGAGGGAATGCTGGGGGCGATGGAATTGATCTCAATAGTGGCTGCATTGGGCACAACTGATCAAATAGTATTTATGAGTTTGTGCATTTCATTCCATGGAGTATTTGCCTGAGAAAACCATAATGCTGGATGGAGTATTTAGAATTATATTGAACCCCCTCAATTATAATACAGTGGGTACCAGTGGCTCATGCCTAGCTTCTTGGGAGTCAGAAATTGATCAGAAAGGAAGTGGCGCTGTGGCTCTAGCAGTAGAGTGCTAGCCTTGAGCAAAAGAAGCTCAGTGCCTAGGCCTTGAGTTCAAGTCTCAGGACTGGAAAAAAGAAAAGAAAAAAGAAAAAAAAATCATAGGGCAAGCACAAAGCCAGGGAGAAACTGATCAGGAAGATTACAGTTTTTGGCTAGTCTAGACAAAGAGTTCACTAGTTTGCCACTGAATTCTGTAGATGGTCCTGATAGTATGACCTTGTCATCCCCTTTACAAGGAAGCTAAGATAGAGAGGTTCATGGCTCCTGGAAAGCCCAGGTGAAAGTTCATGAAACTCCATCTCAACAGAAAAAGCTGGTGCATGTAGTAAACCTGTCATCCCAGCTACAAAGGAAAAAGCATAAACAGAAGGGCTGTGGTACAGGCTGGATTGGGGGGGGGGGAAACAAGACCCTATTGAAAACAAAAACAAAAATAGTACAAAAAGGGCTGGAAGTGTGGCTCAAGTGGTAGAACTCTTGCCTAGCAAATGTGAAGGAAGCCTGGAGTTCAAACTCAGTACTGCCAAACAACAATACTAAGTGGATGATTAGATGGAATGAAGTAAAATACGGAAAATGTTAAATGGGTACGGCATGGGGTGCATGCCTTTATCTTTTCTGTATTCTGTCAATTGCCTTTTTATCTGTGGATTTGGACAGGGTTTGTGATATAGCCCAGGGTGGCCTTGAACTTGACATCCTCCTAAACTCAGCTTGACAAGTGCTGGAATTAGAGGCATGCGCCACCACACCAGCATCTTCTCTGTAGTTCTGAAAATATTAATAATAAAATATTTGGCATGGGTGGGAAACAAGTAATGACACAAATTGAAAAGCAAAGACTTCTGCTCTCAGGAAGTGAAACGCAGCTTTAAAAGATCCTGAGTGTTATAGATTAAAAACAAAACCAAGCAAGACATGTAAGAAGGCTCTGTCAGGTGTAGAGAAGGCAGACTAGCTCAAGGCCCCAGAACTCAAGAAACAACACAGCATGGAAGGACATCCCTGGATTTTCTTCTTGACACTGAAGAAGCCAGCCACCCACAAACCACCAGTCACAGGCCAAGAGAGTCCCAAGGAAAGCCTGCTATCCCCAGCCATAGGAACAGGAAAGGGACGGCTTACAAGGCATAACATTTTTAGACAATAGTTGCACCATTCTGGCCACAGAAAACAGAGGTCATTCCTGTCAGCAAAAGCTGAGTGGAGAAACTAGACATTTTCTTTCATGAAACTCTACAATAAACCCTGACACCCCTACCAGAGCAGTGTGAGAATAGCCAGCTGGGGCCTGAATGCTGGTCCGCCACCAAAGAAGCATCCATCCCTCTCTCTGTGTTAGCAGAGACTAGGTGGGGAGTCTGGGATTTCACCCAATCCAGAAGTCATGAAGTATCTTCCCTTTCCTCAATCCCGGAGTGGTATCGAGGCCACTGATTACTGGGAACCAGGCAACTTTCAATGGAGTCAACAGAGATCATGTGGGGATCCAGATATCCCACCCCTGCCCAGTGGTACCAAGGATCCCAATGGGGGCCAGTGGACAGCCTGGATTTTATCTCCTTGCAAGAATGACAGATGACTCTGACTGCCCCTTCACTGAGAAGTGTCAGACAAAGCCAATGAAATCAGAAGATCTGTGAGCTTCCATAAGACCTACAGTGTCATCACATGGCATAAAATGATATCCAAGGTTTGGTGGAAAATCACTACACATTGAAAGACCCAAGAAAGTCTCACACTGAAAAGAAATTAGGGTTCAACTCTTAAATCCTTCTGAGTGATTCTTCTAAGTAAGAATGTTTGCATCTCATCCCTTACCCTAGAGTTTTCTACTGATCTTGGATGTTACCTAGGCAGAGGCATCTAGTGGAGTAGATCAGAGATATAAATCTGATACTGACTCTTCCATAAGTAGTACTAACCCCACTATGTTCCCACTGAAATAAACCTATATATCTACAAGGACTGCTCCATACCAACAACTGGTAAGAATTCAAGTAACCAATACAGGTGTGATTTGTACTTGTTTGTTTATTTATCATTTATTTTAATTGCTTGAACTCAGAACCTTTCGCTCTTGCTTGAATTCTTCACTCAAGGCTGGTGTTCTACCACTTGAGCCACACCTCCACTTTTTCTATCCATCTTTTTTCTGGTTAATTGAAGATAGAATGTTATGCCCTTTAAACTGTCCTGCTCAGGTCTCAGTCTCCTGAGTAGCTAGAATTATAGACTGAGGCCCAAGTGCCTCATGAGGTCTCAATCTTTCAATGGACCAGAATCTCATCAATTAGCCATGCTCTGTGCAACTGTGACCATAAAGTCAAAATAATAAATGACATAAGATTATGATATAAATAATAATGATATAAGTAAATGATAATTATGATATAAAATAAATGAAAGGCTTAGATATTTTTCCCTTTGAGATCTGATGACTGAGTGTCAGGGCTTCTTATGAAAGGAAAATCTATTATTATTAATAATAACAATGAAAGAAAAATCTATTAGTAGTAGTAATAATAATAAGAAAAGCAGAAGAATCTAGGGAGACATGACTAAAGGTAACAATGGCATTCTAAATGGAATCCTGGAGCAAGGGAAAGAGATGGGAGAAACCAGCAGATGGTAATAAACAGTGGAGTATGGCTAGAAGAAACATACCATGCGTGTGCCCTTTGTATAACAAGTGTGCTGCATCAGAGGCCATTAGCAACACAAGAAGCTAGTAGAGAGTGTGGAGCACCTCTCTGCAGTCTTTTCTGCAGGTCTAAAGCTATTCTAAAAGAGTTTAAAATACGTCACCAGCCAGAAAGGCAGCAAACAATCATGAAGATTTAGGAGATCTTCAGGAGCTGGGTATTGCTCCAATAGACCCGAGGGGATGCTTAAGAGTCAAGATTTCTGCCTAAAGGAAATTTGGTCAGTAACATGCTTCAAAACTGTGCATGTTTCTCTCTAAAAACTTTCCTTCCCTAATACATTCAGTATTTCACCATTAAGAGAACACTTACAGATCATCTTGTTGCTATTTCATCTTGTTTTTTTAACCTGTGATACACACAAATAAAGTTAAATGGTATTCAACATTTTTTGATAGGACAGTGGACCCACATCAGCTTGGTCACTCACTTTCTCTCTCTCTCTCTCTCTCTCACACACACACACACACACACAAAGCAAAGATTCATGCCATGTACTGCTGACACAGAATGGCGAATCTAGGAATAGTAACATTCCATGTCCTTCATTTTATATCACTGTGAAACAGTACTGTTAGTGATACCATTTTATTTGGGACTCACAAGTCAATTTAAAGGATTCAAATGTATTACATAGCAGTTGAGGATGGATTTCATAGCTCATCTTCATTTTTCCCAAACCTATGGGGAAGGGAGAAGAGGGAGAAGACGCAGGACAGACATTCCCTTACTCGTGCTTATGTAAAAAAAAAAAAAAAAACCCTCTGGTGAGCAATGCCCACCCTGAGT